ATAAATATCTGCAGTAAGAATTAATCTATGTGTGTATGTACATACATCTGTATGTATGAATGAATGAATGAATGAAATCACTAGATTGGAGCAATTGAATCAATGAAGTACTCATATTCTACTTGTCCCCTCACATCTATTTGCCAATTCGCCCTAGGCTCCTGAGCACCCAGGTAGAGGCATTTCTCAGCATCCCTCAAAGCTTGCTGGGGCCTTATGACCATAATCTTACTAGGCAAGTGGCAATGAGTGGGATGTATACAGTGTTTAACTCTTGACTAAAAGAAAATGGCTTGCTTTGGATGTCTCCAGAGTGCTGCAATAACATAGCTTCAACCTTATGATAAGGAAAAAGCCTCAAGGGAGGAGAGTGCGGATGGATGGAAAGAATCTGCCCAGATAAGCTGCATTGCCCAGGTTGCTTCATGAGAGAAGTACATTTCTATTTTATTTAAGCCATTTTACGGTGGGGTCTCTTTGTTACACCAGCCTAGTCTTTACACTGACTGTTACAACTCAGGCATGAATATGTTCTCCGTGTGCGTGTAGGGCGGGGAGGGTGTCAAGGAGCATTTCGATGCTTAACTAAATTGACTGATCACATTTCAGCCCATGTGGTCATCTGGTAACTCAAGGAAGACTGTCTTAGAGTGTCTTCATATCAACTTCCTTAATTAACAGTTACATAATTCAAATGCTGAATAGTAGGAAAAGGTCGTTTTGAATGGGTTAAGCTCAGAATTGCTGTTGTCATTAAGTAAATATTCAAGTCATTCACATATACACTTTTAAAAGAACTGATAAGTACATTTCAAATAACTGAATAGCATTTTAGCTTTATTTTTCACCAAGAAATAATTTATAATATGTAAGACACAATGAATGTTATCTACAAGGATGCATTTACATAGTTCCTTCATCTAATCTAAAACGGTCCAAATTAGGGATGGAGGTAGGGGGTGGAAACTGCAATGATTATATTTCCTTTTGATTGTTTTTTAATTTTCTCTCAAATAACTTGACTTTAAAAAAAAAAAAACTGAACCAATACATAAAATGTGAAGTTTGGAGATGCCTAATGTTCAAAAATAACCATTTTAATTGTAATCTATACAGGCTTGATGATTACCTGCAACTCTCAATGCCATTCAGAATTGAATATAAGATGGATGAATTTTACAAATTGGATTTGAATTTTAAGCAAACGCATGTGGGTAAATTGTCAATGGTGGGAGAAGGCAGGGAAAAATGCCACATAAACCTTTATTAGATCACCAAACCAAGGCAGCCAGATTAGAATGACATCAATATAACTGTGACCAGTGCACCTCTCTTTAGTTTCCATCTTGACATTCTGGATGACCTTGGATAAATTATTTATCATCTACGGGACCGTTTTTCCAGTCTGTAAAGTGGGGATTATAAGAATTGCAAGCTACCTCTTAGGAATGCCAGCAACCAGACCCATTTTGTAAAGCGCTCAGATCTAGTTGGAAGAAAATTGTTATATCACTACCGAGTATGATGACTGTTATTTATGATTCTTCAGACCGTAGAATCTAAATTTTAAAAATGACTTCATCTGGTTTTCTGAATTTGCCTGGTCACTTTTATGTATATAATCAGTTATTCCCATAGTACCTTTGTAGGCATATTTATGTCCATCTATACTGACTGTTAATAATTCCCAGGTTTCAAATTTGGGGCATGGTATTTACTGAGAAGCTCCTGGCATCTGAAGTCTACATGCTTCTTGCAGTGTGAAAGTTGATGCTGATTTTTTCGCCCATTGCCAAATAGCAAGGTCTCCTCATTTAAGGGTTACTCACCAGGAAGAAACGCTAACCACTATGCTCACTTTAAACATCTTTAAAATTTTTTATTTCGAACAAACCTTTTATTTCTATGTAAGAGATCAAGATATATACAAATCAGTCTGAAAGATCTTTGACCTTGTTCAAAGGTAAAAATGACATAGTTTGTTACTTGAATCTATATACCCTAACTTATTTCTCCCCAAAATTTGAAATTAGCATCAAAACACAGATGGAATGGATACTGTAAAAGGAAAAAAAGTGTTAAGTAATGAAATGTTCACTTGGAATAGGAATACTGAAAATTATGTATGATATACTCTGGAATCTGTCCCCTCCAAATCTCATCGTGAAATCTGATCCCCCACGTCAGAGGAGGAGCCAAGAGGAGGTGTCTGGGTCACGGGGGCAGATCTCTCATGAACGGCCCAGTGCCCTCGCCAAAGTAATGACCGAGCTCTTGCTCTATTAGTTCTTGAGAAATCTGGTTGTTAAAAAGAGCCTGGCACCTCTTCCCTCCAAGCTTCCTTTTTTTTCTTGTCATGTGACATGCTTGTCCCAAACTTCCCCTTCTGTCATGACTGGAAGCTTCCTGAGGTCCTTACTAGAAGTAGATGCTAGTGCATGTTTCTTGTACAGTCTGCAGAATTATGAGCCAAATAAATTTCTTTTCTTTATAAATTACCCCAGACTCAGGTATTCCTTTACAGTAACACCAAACACACTAAGACAATGTATACAGAACAAAAACAAAGACAACAGAAAAAGCTGACAGTAGAGAACCACTACAGAGACTGAGCAAATAAAATACTTTTGTGATCCAGAAATTTTACAAGGGGGGCCTTAATTGCATGATATTAAATAATGTAATAGATCATGCACTTGATCGTAATTATAAAGAAAGCATTTTTTTTTGTAAAACAGACTATCTTTCTTAGTCAATGCCAATGACAAATTTCTAGACATATTTCTTTCCAAATTTTCCCTTGACATACGATATTTTTTACTTTCAATAATATCATACAGTTTGCGGGTGTAGGGACTATATTTCCATTTTCAGGTAAGAGGTGAAAGAATGGACATTATAAAGATATTGAGTCAGAAGAAAAATAATTCATGCTTATAGGTGATTACAAAAAACAAAAACAAAAAAACAAATGAAAATCCATCAGTGAAGGTCTTATTTTGGAGCTGAACAGATAAGGCAACTCTCAAGTTGAACTTTTCATCTGTCCTACCACTTTTTCAGCTTTGTGCAATCATATATATATATATATATATATATATATATATATTTTTTAAACAGAGTCTCCTGTCACCCAAGCTGAAGTACAGTAGTGCAGTCCTGGTTCAGTGCAACCTTTGCCTATTGGATTCAAGTGATTTTCCTGCCTCAGCCTCCAGAGTAGCTGGGTTACAGGCACCCATCACCATGCCCAGCTAACTTTTGTATTTTTAGCAGAGATGGGGTTTCACCATGTTCACTATACTTCACCAGGCTGATCTCGAACTCCTGACCTCAGGTGATCCATCTGCCTCAGCCTCCCAAAGTGCAGGGATTACAGGCATGAGCCATCATGCCTGGCCTGTTTAATCACAATTTTTAGCTTGGCCAGAAACCTCTGCTAACAGCAGGAGATGAGTTAAACATCTGGCATGACTTTGCATGAGGACCATCTTGGATTGAGATCACTCTGTGAGATTACAGAGACCAGGAGACGGCAAATTACCACCTTGCTGAGTAGCTGCAATAGAGGCTGAATGCCTCCCCAAGTACAAAATATTTACTATGTAACCCTTGACAGAAAAAGTCTGCAAAGCCCTGAAATAGATTGACCTCTTCCTTTTAAAGATTGAAAAATTGAGCCTGAGTAAAGGGAAGTGTCTTGCTGCGACGTGATAATCCCAATTACTGGTTGGGATTCAATTCCTTCCATGCTGAAACATCTGAAACATGTGATTGTCCTCTTTGGAATACAATTAGGTGGATCCTGCAAAGGTTTCATTTAAATAAAATATATGGTGAAATGATGTTAAGCCTGATTTTTCTGGCCCAAATTAAATGTGCCAGAATGCAACTACAAAAACAAATCCATACCCTTTATATCTATGCATTCGAGAACCCCAAAGCCCCAGGTGAGATTTATCAAAAAATGATCAAAGATTCTTCACATTATGAAAGTTTCACAAAAAACTTTGTTCAACTCAATAAGAAGTCTGTATCTGACAAATACATAAACTTTAGTAAAATCTGAGCAAAGGCTTTGTTCAACCATGCTGGCAGGTAACCTGTTTTTAGACAGACACAAATCAACTCAATCCAATGGAATTATTAAAGGCCAAAAATTCTAAAAGAAACGAAGATGCTACTACTTGAGAAATATCAGATGTTAAAAGGACCTGCAGGATTATCTTGTGTAAGATGACCATTGCCTTTAACAGAGACGTGCTTTTGAAATCAAGTAAATATGTAGGTAGCATTCACAGCCACTTTAACTGGAGTGCTTTTTCATCCCCCCTCCCAAAAGCGAATTTGAGAAAATTAAATTTGGCTTTAATTCATTAAGCTACATTAGTCTCTCTGAAAACTTCTAATTTTACAATCAAGTACTCATTTGATTTTCAAGCAAGGTCAAGAGAACAAGGCAGCCTAGTGCTGACATTACAGGGATATGTCCCACACTGCTCAGCAGTTACATCAGTGTGGCGTGTTGCTATGGTGCCTGACTGTTAATTTCTGAAAGAAGGTGATTATAAAGCCGCCAGATGAACATCAATCGGATGACACCACTTCAGTACACAATACTGACGTGCATTTACTCTTGTTTGCAGCAAGTTAATTTTATGAATTACCACTTTTGTGATGCGAATATTCCTTTCTAACTTTAAAGCTACCAAGTCAACAAGCAAAAAATAAATCTACAAAATAAAAATAAGTTCAGCTTCAACAAACAGATGAGACTTTGATAATACTTGGGGGGAAAATGTGACTCTGTAGACCATTTCTTAAGGGCAACTGTTTTTCTTAGGACCTCCGAAGATATGCCACGTACATACTTACTTACTTGCAAATGAACACATGTTTATTTGACAAATACAGAACCACAAACAACTGAATTAAAATGCCTGGAAGGCAAAAGACACAGCAGCCTTACAGACAACTTCACTAATCACATTTGCATTTACCTTTTTTTGGCTTCTGTAAAGCAATCTTCAGTTATAGTCACCTCGAAAGGTCACGTCTTACCCTGAAAACAAAAGAGAACAACAAAATCTCAATGTCAAGAGAAGTAGCAACCACCTCTGCCAAGGACAGACAGGAGCGAAACAACAAAAGAACTCAATTCTATTTAATGGCAAATGACTTGCAGGGTTAATAAAAACAAGTCCCAAGAATCTCTACTTATCTGGACCATATGCCTTTGAGCTCTTCAAGCAACAAAATCAACTTGGAGGGAAAAAGTCGAGGTGAAACATTTCAAATTTTGTTACCAACTTTTTCTCATCTTGTTGTCCATCAATTTATTTTCATGTGGAATAATATGTGACTCACAGGCCTTTGTTTTTGGAAACCAGACTGCCACTTGAACGTGTCTGTGTTTGGTTAACATCCACAACATCTCTTATTTCATTAAAGCAGAGGCTTATTTTTTTCCCTTTCGGAAGAGAGTTAGTTCTTGTAGACAAGATGCTTTCTGCCACCTTGGACCTTTCAAGATGAATGAAAGCACCACAATTTTCAGTTTGGGGAGGGGCAGAGAGTTAATTGCTGGTGAAAGCTGTTCACAGAATGTTTTTCTCTTAGCATGTATCTACCTGATCTACTAAGTTAAATAAAAAGGGTTCATGTCACACAAAATAAACAATTGAAATCAAGCTTCCTAAAACACAAAGAAACCATGGAACGCATTTTACCCCACATCTACTCCTGCATCTGCATACTCCCATATGCAAAACAGTGTTTAGTCCTCTAAGAAACATTACAAGCTGCCTCTTTCTGCCCATGTAACTGGGATCAACATATGGCACAAGTGAAAAGAAAAACATTTGTTTATTAATTTAGATCAAGTTACTAAGATGGTAGAGGATACATTCCACATCCATTGACCAAATGCTCGTATAATTTTTAAGGTGGCAAAATCATATCATCACTGTACTAAAATGTTAATATCTTTTTGCTCACTCTTCAGAATAATATGTAATGAAGTGGTTTAATTTTATCGGAATATATCCCTGCTTATCCCTCTGCCGTCAGCCCTGAATGTGGAAAGGCAAACATCATTGGGAAGAGTAAAATCTTATTTCACTAGGGCTAAAAATTTGAAAGTGGCACTTTGGTGTGTACTATCTTTGAGGAATTGATCCGAGGCCAATTTATGACATTTCCACAAGCAAGTGTATGCAGATTCTTGCCATTAAGATTGGAAAAAGATGCAGGCTCTGAGTGAAATCATAATTTTCATGTTTACTGTTAAGAGGAAATTGGAGGTTTTCACCATAAATGTTCACCATTTGGGTGGGGGAAAACCCTAGGTCTGGGACTTAAAATTACTATTTTGCAGCCTGACCAAAAAACCTTTTTGTTTTTACACAAAACAATTCAAATTGAAAATGAAAATCCTGTGCTTTACTGCTGATGTATGTCCCCAAGATTGGTTTCTCCAGTGGTGAGAAGTCTATTTCAGGGCAAGCGATGATAAGAAATAAAAACAGAGCAAAGATGGTCAGGTCCTCAAGGTACAGCAAAGATCTGCAGCGCCCCACTCCACATAAATAAAAGCTCAGTAGATACACAGCACACATCAGAAATTACTACCTCTACCACTCGTCAAATCTTAAATGCAAAGCAAGTGAACTTTGGCAGATCCTACTCAATTCAAAGCAAGAAAGCCTTTTTCTCTCTCCTTCTTACTTGAGATGTTCTCCAATACATGCACTGTAAACTAATTTATATGTTTATCTATTGAGCTGTGTCTATTTTTGCACGTTTGGCAGTCAGACCTATATAGTATTAGACTTTGCAATGCAGATGAGATTTGCTATCATATAGGCCTGGCAAACAACTGGACCTCATTAAAATTTAATTTTTTTTAAAAACTGCTGAAAATGCCTCCTTTGAATAAAGTTATCTCCAGTGTGGCATTTGAACCTGCAGAACATTTTCAGGTAAACACTAGACCTGTTTTTCTACTCACCCGTCCACACAGTATAGTGTGGTGTAAGAGAACACAGAACAAAAGTAGAAGGTGGCTCAGCCTCAGATTTTACAAGTATCATTTTCTCCCTCTAGGAGTACTGGGCAAAGAATTAACAACAAAATTATACAACTTACCCTCCAACTTAAAAATACTATAACAATACGAAACTGGCTACATTTAATTTTCACTTACACATAAAAAAATTGGCAGTGGTATATAATCTCTATCTTTTTCCATTTTGAAGGTCCATAAAATTTTGGTGCACATGCACGTTTGAGCACTGATTCATTTATTGCTGCTGAATTTTGTTTTTGGAGAAGGTATACATTAACAAAGTAATCTAAAAGACATTTTTCTAGTTTTGCTGAGAAAAGATTAATAGTTCAACAGCTGTTTGCCATCATGCTAAATGAAATGAAATGTGTCAATATAATAGACAAGAAAATTAAGGGGTAGTACTGGGCCCAGAGTCCGAATCATTAGTAGCTTAGAAGAATTGGAAACCATCAACTAGTAGAAAAATACGTATTTCATTTTTTCCAAAGCATAAAACTTCCCTTTTCAAAACTATATTTGCTATTTTCTTCAATCACTTTTACTGATCGAATAGATGAACTATTTACCTGTATACTTACTGGCAGCAAAAGCACCAAAACTCAAATTAAACACTTATGCAAAGCTTTTACGTAAAAAAAAAAAAAAAAAAAAAAAAAGATAAAAGAAATGCATTCCCCTCCAGCCCACTTATCTTCTTTTAAAAAATGCTGTCTCCATACGAATTGCGTTTTTTTTTTTTCTTTTTCTCTTTCTTTTTTAAGTTTCCTACTGGTTTTAGGTTTTAAAAGTGAGCCAAGGATACGGTAAACAGAAATTACTTATTTTCGTTTATGTCATTCTCTGTAACAGTTAAGATCCCGTGAACACTAGAATTGTTCCGTGGCCTCCTCACCATTGATTGCAATAGTATCATTTACCCAAGCTACACAGTGACCACACCAAATTTCAGACATGACCTCTAGGGTTTGACATGTAATATACATTCCTCTTTTTCTACCTCCCTAACACCCCTCCTCCTTACTTAGGACTATTGTTCTAAAGAACCCTCAGATCATTATAGTGTTGCAATATCATACTTTCTACGGGTATATTTTGCCCTTAATCTGTGTGACATGTAATACATAGTGTCCACTATTACATCCTACTTGAAACCGAGTTGCAGGTAAGTGTGGAGGTGCAATCTCATTTCACAAAACTGAAAATGAACAATATTGGCTCTTTTTTGCCCATTGATAGCATTTCCCCCTTCCCTCTCTTGAAAGCTAAAATAAAATCTTATTTGCATTAAGATTTCTGCATTATATTTCATTTTATATAATTGTGCAAAAGCAACTCTGAAGGATGCCCAACATAGGCCATCTCAACCTTCAGCCCACCCAATACTGGCTGAGAACCTACTGTGTGCCAGTCTTACTAAAGATGCAAAGATGAGCAAAGCGAGCCAGCCCCTGGATGGTGATGAAGGGGGCAGTCCGGTAGGTCTATGGCTAGAGACTCTTTACTATAGGAAACCCAGGAAGGAGCACGGTTCAAACTTTCTATACCCCCAAATCCTCTAATCAAAGGGCCTGTACTTCATTTGCAAAAACTTGTCCAAATAGGCCAATTGCCAAGAGTCTTCTGCCTCTTAAAGTAGGAAATCTTATCTCGTGTGGGCTTTAATACCTTGTTTTTCAGTTAGTTCTTAGAAAACAGAAGGACATCAACATATATTTGACGATTGAAAAATATAATACAAGGGTCATGTTATTTTCTGTACTTAAGAAAATCTGGCTGGGTGTGGTGGCCTAACGTCTGCAATCCCAGCACTTTGGGAGGCTGAGGTGGGTTGATCACAAGGTCAGGAGTTCAAGACTCAGCCTGGCCAAGATGGTGAAACCCCGTCTCTACTAAAAATACAGAAATCAGTGGGGCGTGGTGGCAGGCGCCTGTAATCCCAGCTACTTGGGAGAGTGAGGCAAAGAAGTGTTTGAACCCGGGAGACGGAGGTTGCAATAAGCCGAGATTGTGCTGTTGCACTCCAGCCTGGACAACAGAGCGAAAACTCCACTGCAAAAAAAAAAAAAAAAAAAAAAAAAAGACAAGAAAATCTCCAAAATCAATCATAAAGTTTGTTCCATGCCCTTAGGACTTCAAATATTGAGTCAGGTTTCAAAAAAAAAAAATGGTGGGAAAGAGAGGGAACGAAGAAAGAAAAGAAAGAAGGAAAGAAAAAGGGAAAAAAGAGAAAAACAGGGGGAAAAAGAAAGTCAAAGAATAAAGGAGAGAAAAGGAAGGAAGAAACTGCTGTGCAGTCAGGGTCTCTGAGACCAGAGGCAAACCTGGACACTCTCCAGGCTGGTAGCTTCACAAACACTACCCTTCTTTTACTTGTCTCTATCAAAGAAATGCGCGACTTCGAATCCATCATTCTCCAAATCTCACTCCTACTCCTGCAAGTAACATCTTCCTTTCTTTCTCCTCATCCTCTAGGACCCTCATCAGATCATACTGCCTCACTTTGGAGTCCATTCTAGTAAGGCAAAAACCAAAAATATTATATACTAAGCCATGTGGTGTAGGCAACCCCAGTGGAAGCTTACCCGTGAAATTACTTTTGGCTGGCCCCTTCCCCCACCCAATAACTTCACATGGGCCCATCTCATTTGGAAAAATGACTCTCTCATACCTTGCAGAAAAGGAAAACCCTGGCTGTGGTCATGTGAAAATATTTTATAGGTATCCTTTAACAGCCTTTAAATGTTGAAACCTAAAAACAATATTTGCTGTTTTCCCTTTGAAGCTCTAACAAAGCCTTTGTTTTAGATTCACCTTTAGTGTGCAATAAGAGTTAATAATCAAATCCATCCCAACCCCCACAAATGTTAAACAAAAAGATAAAAGAAATGCAAATAGCTATTGTCATGGAAAGTTAAAGTACCTGTCTGTATTTTTAAGTGAAAACTATTATCTCTATCAATCAAAATTTAAGAATACAATAGCGCTAATCACAG